TTTCACAGTATTATTTACACTAGCCAACTTTTTAATTTCATCTGAACAATCTCTAGACTGCTGCAACAAGAATGTCATGACTTTTTCTAAAGCTTCTAATCCTTCCTTAGCAGAAATAACAGGTAACTCATTTCCTTCATCATCTTCCTCATTCTGATTTTCATTAACTTCTTCTTGAATTAATTGGACAATTGTCTCCTCATCTACAGGTTCTTCTATTTCATTTTCTTCAACAGGATTCAAAAAATCTTCTGTTCTCATAGGGGTTCTGTATCTATAATAGTAACAATAATAAAATAATTAACATTGAAATTAAAATAACAAGACAATATTTTTAATACCTTAAGGCTGTAATATTTTTTTCTATATCAGGAATTATTTCATCTCCTTCTTGCTCTGTCTCTTCATTATTATCAAATTTAATAATACCAGTATGCTTCCAACAATTGGCAATGGTATTTATTGTAACATCATCTCTCCAAGCTGTTTTGATGAATAGTATAGCTTCTAAAACATTAAGCTTGGCAACCTGTTCATTATCCTCAAACTTTTCAAGAAGGTGATGTACAAATCGATGATTGTAATGTTTCTTGAAAGATGCAATAATTCCAGCATCACAAGGTTGAATCTTTGATGTGGAGCTTGGGGGTAAGAATTTAATCTGTGTATTTTTCAATTTTACCTCTTCAATTATATGACAAGGTGCATTATCAAGCAATAATAACACCTTTCTACCACTCATTCTTTGATCAAATAGTCTTAACCATCTACAATTGAGAATTGATTAAAAATGCTTTATAAAGTAAGTCATATTAAATTATTAATCATAAATTTACTTACTCTTGAAATAAAACTGCTGTCATCCATGCTTTAGTATTTGCTCTATAGGTAATTCCAAGATTATTCATATTAACATTTTTCATACACCAAGGTTTTAAAAATTTTCCAATAATGAGAGGTGGAAGTTTATCAGTTCCATCAGCATTACAACAGAGTACAACAGTCAAATGTTCCTTGTCCTTTTTTTTCCCTCAAGTTGTTTTGTTGCTAGAGTTGTGTCAGGTTCAAGACTATATGTATTTATTAAATTACATTAGCAAATAACAATATTTTAAATATTGTTTATCATCAGGAAAACGTGTTTTTTGATACACATATTATATGTATATTATACATGTATTATTTTACATTACAAGTGATCTGCATATAATATATGTATAATTCGCGTGTAATTTATGGACATGTGTATTATATGTATATTATATGTGGATCACCTGTAATGTAAAATAATACATGTATAATATACATATAATACATGTATAAAAAAAACACATTTTCCTGATGTCATAGTGTTATACTTGCCGGGAGAACAGTCCTGTTTCATCCATATTATATACACATTCAGGTCTAAAGGAGCTAATGATTGCTTTTAAATCAGGAAGTGCATTTTCAATTGCATTGGTATCAGCTGATCCACTTTCTCCATGCAATTGGTATCTTTTCAAATTGTTTCTACATATGTAATTATTTGTTACAAAGAAATTAATAATTTAATATCATAAATATGTGTAAAAATATACCTGTTTTTAAAGCTTTGAAGCCACCCAGAAGAAAATGTCAATGCATCATCAGGAATATTAAGCAATTTTGCAAATGATTTAGCTTTTTCAGTTATGATTAGGTTGGTGAGAGGAATATGGTTTTGTGAGCGCAAACACCATTCTTGGAGTGCAAGCTCAAGTTCAGGATATCTAACATTACAGGGTTTTTTCTGTAGTGGATTTTGTAGTAAGTTTGTTTCATTATCCAAATACTCATATGAGTGCTTTAATGTTCTGGAAATAGTTTCTTGATCAACTTTTATACCAAATTCTTGTTCACACCAATTAATTAATTCTTTTTGGGTTATTCTTGGTCATCTTGCTTTTTTAAACAGATTTGATAACGTTGTTGATTGTTTGATGTGACTTTCTTCATTGTAAATGTAAAGGATAACGAAATATATGATGTTTGTATAAAATTGAGTAAAATTCAAAAATTTATGATTAAGCTATTAAAATTAATGAATTGATTAAAACCATGACGCGAATGACATGAAACAATTTTTACATTCATGTCACGTGATTGTATGTAACAGCAACCACACAATAACGTGAATATGCATATTCTGTCTATTTGCATAAAAACTCATCAGTCCCAACAGTATGCAAATAGACAGGTGCGACTGTATATAGTTATTGAATAATTGATAATAATAAAACGTTAATTGAATATATTTTACAAACAACTTCATAGATCTCAACTTTAAGACTTACTTTGATCAAACCCGCCTATAATAATAAACATTCATTTTGGAAACTTGATTTGAAAATAGATCTTGACTTTAACACTTACTTCTACCAAGCCCGCCTATATAATTATTTGAATAATTGATAAAGCGAAGTCGAGTGGACTTATCCAAGGGTTGAAAAGGCCAACAACAATGATGATAAGAAATCCCCACACAAAGCATTAAAATCCAAACATCTGGATTGTGAGGAACAATTCATGAGTTCCAACAGCAACCTTTTGAAAGTTTGAAATACAATATAACATTAATTGAAATTTTAATTCAATATAAATACTAATTATTTGATATAATGTTATTTTTGAACTTTCAGAACCTACTTTCAAATAAGCATTTGCTGCATCTGTTGCTGATTGTGCAGAATTTACACAAGTTTGAAAGTTATCTCCAAAACAAATTTTGAAATTTGCTGCCTTTTCTAGATAATTAATTTCACATTGTACAGTATGGCTAGAACTTCCTCTACCCCAGGTTGTCTGAATCAAATAATCATCTGGGATCTTGAATTGGCTGTTATTACAAGAACGCAGAGAAGTATACTGAAGTATATCACTTGGAGGATAAAAACCTTCTTTGATAATAGTATAAGTATAACAAGTATTATTTTGATTAAGCTGGAGAATTTTAGATGCAGGGTAATTGGCATTAGGCATACTTGTCAAGTATATATATCTTATATATTTATATACTTAGGCAGAGACACTCTTGTAAATGACAAATTATTTTTTTAATTTTCTTGGTTACACATTAAAAAATCAGAAATTCTATTTGACTGACCGTCCCTATAATAGATCTACAAAAATTGGGTTAGTGTTTAAATGCGCGCATATGTTTAATGAGATTGTTAGACGAAAACAGCATCAAGCTGAATTAGCAAGACAGAAACAAATTGATGGCTTGGCTCGCCATCTCAAGAGAAAAAGAGATAATATGATTGAAGTAAATGAACAAATAGTTAAATTCAAGAAAAATTCGACTAAAAAAGCAGAACATATACTAGCAGATGTTTTTGTGAGGCCAGAATTGGAGGGGAAAAAAGTACCTGGTGACTTGCAGATTCATGAAAATGGCATTCGTTATGTGTCTCGTCATTCAAACCAGAAAATAGACATGCTATATAGCAATATTAAACATTTATTTTTCCAACCTTGTGACTACGAGTTGATTGTAATTTTGCACATACATTTAATCAATCCAATTGTCTTTGGAAAGGAAAAGGCCAAAGACATTCAGTTTTTCCGTGAAACGTCTGATGCTCAATTTGATGAGACTGATTATGGTAAAAGAAAGACCAAGTATGTTGATGAAGAAGAGGTTGGTTCAGAGCTAAAGGATCATAGAAGACAATTCTTGTTAAATAAAAGTTTTAAAGGCTTTGCCAATAAAATTGCAAAGTCCAGTAATGAAAAAGTACATGTGGATGTTCCTTTTAGAGATATTGGATTCTTCGGTTTTCCATTTAAAACCAATGTATTATTACAACCAACAACTGATTGTCTTGTTCATTTAGTAGATTTGCCATTTTTAGTTATAACTATGTCTGATGTAGAAGTAGTGAACTTGGAAAGAATACAACATGGATTTAAAAATTTCGACATGGTGTTAATTTTCAAAGATTATACACGCCCACCAATGCATATTGACACCATTCCAATGCATCAATTAGAAGGTGTAAAAGAATGGATGGATTCAAAAGATATTTTATTTTATGAAGGAACGACTAATTTAAATTGGGCACAAATAATGAGATATATTAACAAAGATCCAGTAGGATTTTATAATAATGGTGGCTGGTCATTTTTACATGAAAAGGATTTGGATTCAGTAAGTTATGAAGTAGATTCCATTATTATTATAGATAACGTTGGGAATTCATTTTATTATTTTGTTAATAAAATCAATAATAATTTACAGAGTAGCAGCGATGATTATGAAGAATCAGGAGGAAGTGATGAATCTGGTTTGTATTATATATTATATACATTTGTTTTAATAATAATAATAATAATAATAATAATAATTCAATGATTTTAATAGGTGACGAGAAAAAACGAAAACATTCCATTGATCCTACTACAAGCACAAATAAAAAACTCAATATATGAAAAAATTTAATCAATTATTTTAATAATTGTTATTATATTGCATTTGAATAAATGAAAAAATAAATATTGTCAAAATGAATGTTTGTTTATTAATGTAATTTAAATCATGAATGATTTTTTTATCATTATTATCATTATCAATTATATATTAACAATTTTTTAAAGAACAAAAAAATTTAATTGATTCAAAAGAAAAAGAAAAACATAAAAGTTACGAGTTTGGAACTAATTATCTGTTCAGAAAAGCAATTAATTAATAGTTATCAACACGAACAGTGGTGTTGGTGGTAGTGGTAGTTTTTTTATTGCTATTATCATTACTCTTATTAATATTACTATTGTTTTTAGCACCAACTACAGAATCACCTAGCATAGAATAATACCCAAGGTGAATGTTGTAATTAAATTAATCAACAAAATAATCAAGTTTCCATTGGCATTATTATCATCAAAGTTCTTATTAAACTGTCTAGTTTAAAATAAATAAAAAATTTTTTGTGTATTTTTAGAAATTTTAAAAAACATTATTGTATTATTTTGTTAATTTAATTAAAGTTACAATTAAAATTGTACAAAAGCCATAAATCAAAATCAATCAATCCCCCTTCTATCAATCAATGCCTGAATTAAGGATGAATGCAAAACCAAGAACTTCTTTCCTTACTCTTCCTACTGAAATACTTTTACAAATATTTTCATATCTTGGTTCAGCTCATCTTAAACAACTTTCCCTTACACATCGTTCCCTACACATTCTTACTCCAACATATCATTTCAGATCTGTAGTTGTCTACAAAATTTCGTTTTTTTTTTTACATACCATAGTACCAAAATATGGCCAGTACTTTAGAAACTTGACAGTTCACGGCCGAGTTTCTCAGGAATTTATAGATAGGCTTGCCGTGTTATTAAAAATATTAGATGCACGTTGTGATTGTCTGGAGAATTTTAGCATTTTAGTACCAGAACAAACTCCTGGTGTGTTGGAATTGAATCCACCATGTTTAAGTCAAGGACTTAGCAATAAACATTTAAGAGCCTTAAAGTTGACTTGCTCTGCAACTTTGATCGCCTTTTTAACTCCACTTTATTTTCCATCAATTTTACAGGCTTCTTTGGCCAACAAAAACATCAATAGCAATGGCAATAGTGATAATAAAATCGACAACACCAATAATAATCTAGTCGATGATTCAAACGGTGATAATAATTATGACAACAATTATAATTATAATGCTATTATTGCTAATAACCATAACATTGATGCTCCAAGTTTGTTTATACATGCAGTGATTCAATCTGTATATTCGTTAAATCATTATGTAGAAAAATATGGATCACAAATCACACGAGCGCACATGTCTTTTGAGGGTTTATCGGATGTATGGGTAGCGCAGCTTTTGATTAATTGTCCGTGTTTGCAAGAACTGGTTTTGGAGAGAAAATATATTGATGACAATATAGAAATATCCGATTCTACATTGGATAGTATAGCTTCACTCTCCAATACATTAAAATCGTTATCTTTTACTACTGCGTGTGATTCTCCGCTCACAGAATGGTTCACTTATGCTGGATGGAGAAGGATGCTCGGTGGAACTTCTAAATTGGAAAAATTGGATATTTCCGGATTGCATTTAAAATTCATTGCTGCTTTGCTTCCTATGATAGCTGATTTTTATAAAGATCATCCTCTTTGGTAAGTCGTATTGAATAAATACCTTTTTGAGGATTTTAATAATAAAAAAATTAAATCCAATCAATCTAATAATAATAATAATCATTACCACACTATTATACATAATATATGATTGTATCAAAAAAAAAAAAAGGCTCAAACATACGGGCCCATTAAATAATATAGATTTACGATCTCGATACAGGAATGAACTAGAACTTATGAACTTAATAGCCGTTTGTAAAAACAATTTACTTGGACTTGAATCATCATACATTAGTGACGCAGTAATAAAATGCTTGACTCTTTATTCACCCGGGATAATTAGATTATGTATGACCGGTGATCTTCTTAATAGAAGAAAAAGTACTTTAAATAACATTGAGAAAAAGCTTTTGAATTTAGAAACCTTTCAAACTTGGAAGTTGTCCGTTAAAAACTGGCCAATTGGATTGTGTATTCGATTTGGTAAACGTAAAAACGAATATAACTGTTTTACGGATGATGACGAGTCATCTTTATCATGTCTTGATGAAGAAGAAGATGATGATGACGACGACGACGATGACGATGGTGATAATGATAATCTCAAGGAAAAACATAATGTTAGCAACAACAACAACAATAATAACCAAAGCATTTCAAACAATAACAATAATGATAATAATAATAATAATATAATTAATCTACAGCAACAACATCATCAAGAAATATTATTAAGAAATACCAATAATAATCATAAACATCGATCTAAAATAATATGTATATGTGTGATATTAATTATTTTAATTTCCTATTATAACTGATAATAATTATATATGAACAATGTTTTACAAGTTGAACATTACTATAATTATATAATATTTATTTATTTATTTATTTATTTATTTATTTATTACCACACATATATATAGTAAGGAAAGGATTTATTAATTAATTAGTTAATCTATTAGACATTTTGTAAATTAAGTTATTACACATACAAAAAACAATTTTTTCTATGTCTATTCAACAAGCAATGATAATGATTTGAATTATATTATTGTTACAATATCATTGTTTTAATTGAATAACGGGATACCATGGATGATAAATAAACTCCAAATTCACTGGTTTATTAACTAAAGTATTTTCAGGACTATTTTGTGACTGAATTGTAGTAGATGTAGATGTAGATGTAGATGATGAAGATGACGATGTTGCCATTGAGGAGGATGATGATGATGATGCCGTTGTTGATATTGTTTCACTTAATGAAGGTTGTTGTTGTTTATGTTTACCTTTCTTTTTATTTTTCTTTCGCTTGGTTGTTGTTATTACTGCTGTTGTTGATTTTAACGGTGTCTCTAAATTGATTTCATTTGTTGAATTATTTTCAAGTTCGATTTTATACTCTTCGATTATTTTTTGTAGGTTTATAATGTTTGCAATGCATACACGAGTCATATTTTGAATATCCTATATATATATATATAAAATCAATATATGTATATATGTATATATATATATATATATATATATATATATATATATATAATGATCATATTTATTATGTAAAATAACATAATAGATACCTCTTTAAATTCAACTTCACCGAATTCCATTCTACACTCGGATACATTTAAATTTTTTAACTTGGCCAAAGTTATTTTAGCAGATTGAAAATTTTGCAAAGATGCATTCAAAAGATCCAGTGTCTACAAATTATATATTAATATATTTATATATTAAGCATATATATATATATGGTGTATCTGTATATGCAACTTACACTAACGTGGTCCCAATTTGTCACTTTTTTATAATCGTTATATGTGAATATTGCTGGACTTCCCAAATTCCTGTACATTCGAAATCTTTGCATGAAACGTACACCTTCATCATCAAATTCTAGTGCCGGTGAAGTCATACGACCAGTTCTCTGTAATGCTGGTATAGCCTTATAACAACAATATTATGAAAAAATTATTACTAATTAATTTATTATTACTATTACTGTTACTATTGTTATTACTATATTAATAATTAATTATTATTATATTTGTTATTTACTTACTCTATAAATTCCTCGGCATAAATCTTGTTTAGCCATTGTTAAAATTTGCTGATTAATTATTAATGATGTAATGGATTTTGAAAGTGATATGCTTCTTAGATTTGATTTTCGATGGTCTAGTTTTTAATACCACAATATTATTTATTGACTTTTTGTTAGAAACCTCACAGTGAGGAAAGGAAATTCTTTAAAACTTACCATTTGCATGAATAGAAATTCTGTCCAAATGTTGATAATGAACACCTAATAAATAATCAATATACCTTTATTTATTATTGTTGTTATTGTTGTTATTGTATATATAGTGAGTAATGTTTACAGGGTTTTTAATAATTAATGAATATTTTTAAAAAAAAATTTTTCAATTAGTTGATTTATTTGATTTTTTTCATTTAATCACACACACACACATATCTTACCAATAAATCATTGGAAATTCATGTGTTCCATATAATTCTAATTCAAAGCCAATAAATAAAATGTCCTCAATTAATGTTAGTTTCCGATGATAAACCCAAGAAGAAAGATGAAAAGAAAATGAAGGTCCTTCCTAAAAAAATTTTTAATAAAACTAAAACTTCACTTATGTAAAGTGGTTTGTGTTAACCATTTTTTCTTAAAAAACGATAGATTACTTTTGTTATTAATGGCGATTCACCAGTCAATCCTTGCAACTCTAAGTCGATATGTTCTGCCTAAATACATGAATGTGTTTTTTTTTAATATCAAAAAAATTTTTAATGGGCTTTCAATATATATATGTGTGTGTGCGCGTGTATTTAATATGATATACCTTTTCTTGTAACAATTCCCAATCTGTTAAAACATTACACATATTTCTTCGTTGTCTTGAACGATTATGACATAAAATTTGGCAAAGATCCATCAAAGGCTTTTTTTAAAAATTGATAATAATAACAATAACAATTAATGATAACAAAGAAAATAAAAAATTTTAAATGAATACAATATATATAGTGTAAAAAAGCCATTTGTTTACCTTTTCTGAACTGTCAACAAATACATGAACCAATTTTGAAATTTTTTTTCTGACTTCATCTGAATATATTGTATTATGACCAGCTGAAGTAAGAAGTTCAATTTTTGATACAAAATAAACATATGGTGGATTTGTCAATTCTGTTATAGAATCCTTTACCAATTGAAAAATTGGCATTTTGCCTAGAACACGTTCTTCTGAACGAATTGTTGACTTCAGGATTCAACAAACAAGTAAACTTATTAATAATTAATCATATTAATTGAATTAGTTATATTATTAACTTACTTGTAATAATGACCTTGAGAAAGCACATGATGTAGGTTTTTGAGCAGCATAATAATGCAAGAAATTCTTTTTTATATATTATATAAATATAATAAATAAAATATCATGTATAAAGTTTTAAGATATAATAATTTCAATCATGTTAATTTACCATTAAACTAGTTGCTGATATATAATCAATGATTAGACATGTTGAATTAAGGTTTTTTAATAAATTCAACATTTCATCCAATGACTAGTTATAAAAAAAAGGTTTATTTAATTTAGCAAAAGCCTATTATTAAATACTATTATAGTTGTTATTGTTATTGTTATTATATAAACAAATTTCGATTTTAAAATAATTGCCTCTTGTAATGTTAAAAGTTGAATTGGTCGTGGTGGTGTTTGTGATACAAATTTTCGATTAATTAAAGGATCAAACGCTATCAAAATTAAATTATTATTAGTATCAAGATGATCATCATCATCATCTTCATAATTAGTATGAAGATTAGTACGAAGATAAAAAAACATACCATCATCTACATCGATTTCTAAATCAGCAGTATCTTCACTCTTAATTTCATTTAATAATTTACTGCAATTAGCAATTTCTTTTTGAGCTAGTGGGTACCGTTGACAAAGTGGTTGCGACACATACATGAGAATTAAAAGAAATGACTATATGTGTGCATGTGTATGAATGTGTGTATATATGAAAATATATGACAAAAAACCAATTCAAAAGATAAAACTTATATAATGTGAATATATTTATATATATATTATATATATAACATACTAAAATTACCATAATATAATAAAGTAATTGTTAAAAAATTCGCACCCTTCTAAAAATTAATCGAGAGGATAAGGCTTCAATAAGTTTTTCATTTTTACTATCGCCTATACGTAAATATTTAATATCACATTAATATATTAATAAATATATATATTTTAAAAAAAAATAATCAAATTTACCATTTTTTCCATTATTGCGTATCCATTGGCTACCGTTATTTCTCAACCAATTTTCTGCATCACCCAATAATTTTAATACTTCCGATTCAGGAAAATCTTCATAAATCGTAATGTTATATTTATTTAAAGAAAAATCTTCCTCCTTTTTATTTAATTATTTAAATAAAAAAACATAAATATTCCCCTTTTTTCAAAAAAAAAAAGCAAAAAGATCTAATGATAATCTCACATCATAAACATTTCCTTTGCTCATTTCTTCCCACACCAAATGACTACATTTCATTGTACCCAGAACATAAGCTTTAAGAATTAAAATTACAAATTCTATTGGTGGCAATAGTTCTGATGTAGTCGTAGTTGTAATTGTAGATGTAGATGCTTTTGATTGATCCTTGTTATCATTAACATCAGATTTATTATTATTATTATAAAATAACTCTGGAGTAAGTTCCATAATATGATGTATGTACATGCATGTAAATATAGTTTGAGCAAGAGAATGTCCAGAGTGCCATGTCATCTAAAAAGAAAAATTCAGAGATTTTATCATTTTCAAAAATAATATTTATAATTAATGCAAATTAAAAGATTTATTTAAATTTACCTCTCATATAAATAAATTATTAATTATTCCAAGAACTTGTTCAGGTTTTAATCTAGCTTGTAGATTAAAATTTTTTTTCTTGAGATCACTTTCAAGGATCATTCCACTGTCCATCTTAGGATCCATGATCTTTAAAACATTTTATGTTCTGTTATTAAATATAATCATATATATTAATTGATAAGAAATTTGTCTTGATGAAGAAGAAGATGATGATGACGACGACGACGATGACGATGGTGATAATGATAATCTCAAGGAAAAACATAATGTTAGCAACAACAACAACAATAATAACCAAAGCATTTCAAACAATAACAATAATGATAATAATAATAATAATATAATTAATCTACAGCAACAACATCATCAAGAAATATTATTAAGAAATACCAATAATAATCATAAACATCGATCTAAAATAATATGTATATGTGTGATATTAATTATTTTAATTTCCTATTATAACTGATAATAATTATATATGAACAATGTTTTACAAGTTGAACATTACTATAATTATATAATATTTATTTATTTATTTATTTATTTATTTATTTATTACCACACATATATATAGTAAGGAAAGGATTTATTAATTAATTAGTTAATCTATTAGACATTTTGTAAATTAAGTTATTACACATACAAAAAACAATTTTTTCTATGTCTATTCAACAAGCAATGATAATGATTTGAATTATATTATTGTTACAATATCATTGTTTTAATTGAATAACGGGATACCATGGATGATAAATAAACTCCAAATTCACTGGTTTATTAACTAAAGTATTTTCAGGACTATTTTGTGACTGAATTGTAGTAGATGTAGATGTAGATGTAGATGATGAAGATGACGATGTTGCCATTGAGGAGGATGATGATGATGATGCCGTTGTTGATATTGTTTCACTTAATGAAGGTTGTTGTTGTTTATGTTTACCTTTCTTTTTATTTTTCTTTCGCTTGGTTGTTGTTATTACTGCTGTTGTTGATTTTAACGGTGTCTCTAAATTGATTTCATTTGTTGAATTATTTTCAAGTTCGATTTTATACTCTTCGATTATTTTTTGTAGGTTTATAATGTTTGCAATGCATACACGAGTCATATTTTGAATATCCTATATATATATATATAAAATCAATATATGTATATATGTATATATATATATATATATATATATATATATATATATATATAATGATCATATTTATTATGTAAAATAACATAATAGATACCTCTTTAAATTCAACTTCACCGAATTCCATTCTACACTCGGATACATTTAAATTTTTTAACTTGGCCAAAGTTATTTTAGCAGATTGAAAATTTTGCAAAGATGCATTCAAAAGATCCAGTGTCTACAAATTATATATTAATATATTTATATATTAAGCATATATATATATATGGTGTATCTGTATATGCAACTTACACTAACGTGGTCCCAATTTGTCACTTTTTTATAATCGTTATATGTGAATATTGCTGGACTTCCCAAATTCCTGTACATTCGAAATCTTTGCATGAAACGTACACCTTCATCATCAAATTCTAGTGCCGGTGAAGTCATACGACCAGTTCTCTGTAATGCTGGTATAGCCTTATAACAACAATATTATGAAAAAATTATTACTAATTAATTTATTATTACTATTACTGTTACTATTGTTATTACTATATTAATAATTAATTATTATTATATTTGTTATTTACTTACTCTATAAATTCCTCGGCATAAATCTTGTTTAGCCATTGTTAAAATTTGCTGATTAATTATTAATGATGTAATGGATTTTGAAAGTGATATGCTTCTTAGATTTGATTTTCGATGGTCTAGTTTTTAATACCACAATATTATTTATTGACTTTTTGTTAGAAACCTCACAGTGAGGAAAGGAAATTCTTTAAAACTTACCATTTGCATGAATAGAAATTCTGTCCAAATGTTGATAATGAACACCTAATAAATAATCAATATACCTTTATTTATTATTGTTGTTATTGTTGTTATTGTATATATAGTGAGTAATGTTTACAGGGTTTTTAATAATTAATGAATATTTTTAAAAAAAAATTTTTCAATTAGTTGATTTATTTGATTTTTTTCATTTAATCACACACACACACATATCTTACCAATAAATCATTGGAAATTCATGTGTTCCATATAATTCTAATTCAAAGCCAATAAATAAAATGTCCTCAATTAATGTTAGTTTCCGATGATAAACCCAAGAAGAAAGATGAAAAGAAAATGAAGGTCCTTCCTAAAAAAATTTTTAATAAAACTAAAACTTCACTTATGTAAAGTGGTTTGTGTTAACCATTTTTTCTTAAAAAACGATAGATTACTTTTGTTATTAATGGCGATTCACCAGTCAATCCTTGCAACTCTAAGTCGATATGTTCTGCCTAAATACATGAATGTGTTTTTTTTTAATATCAAAAAAATTTTTAATGGGCTTTCAATATATATATGTGTGTGTGCGCGTGTATTTAATATGATATACCTTTTCTTGTAACAATTCCCAATCTGTTAAAACATTACACATATTTCTTCGTTGTCTTGAACGATTATGACATAAAATTTGGCAAAGATCCATCAAAGGCTTTTTTTAAAAATTGATAATAATAACAATAACAATTAATGATAACAAAGAAAATAAAAAATTTTAAATGAATACAATATATATAGTGTAAAAAAGCCATTTGTTTACCTTTTCTGAACTGTCAACAAATACATGAACCAATTTTGAAATTTTTTTTCTGACTTCATCTGAATATATTGTATTATGACCAGCTGAAGTAAGAAGTTCAATTTTTGATACAAAATAAACATATGGTGGATTTGTCAATTCTGTTATAGAATCCTTTACCAATTGAAAAATTGGCATTTTGCCTAGAACACGTTCTTCTGAACGAATTGTTGACTTCAGGATTCAACAAACAAGTAAACTTATTAATAATTAATCATATTAATTGAATTAGTTATATTATTAACTTACTTGTAATAATGACCTTGAGAAAGCACATGATGTAGGTTTTTGAGCAGCATAATAATGCAAGAAATTCTTTTTTATATATTATATAAATATAATAAATAAAATATCATGTATAAAGTTTTAAGATATAATAATTTCAATCATGTTAATTTACCATTAAACTAGTTGCTGATATATAATCAATGATTAGACATGTTGAATTAAGGTTTTTTAATAAATTCAACATTTCATCCAATGACTAGTTATAAAAAAAAGGTTTATTTAATTTAGCAAAAGCCTATTATTAAATACTATTATAGTTGTTATTGTTATTGTTATTATATAAACAAATTTCGATTTTAAAATAATTGCCTCTTGTAATGTTAAAAGTTGAATTGGTCGTGGTGGTGTTTGTGATACAAATTTTCGATTAATTAAAGGATCAAACGCTATCAAAATTAAATTATTATTAGTATCAAGATGATCATCATCATCATCTTCATAATTAGTATGAAGATTAGTACGAAGATAAAAAAACATACCATCATCTACATCGATTTCTAAATCAGCAGTATCTTCACTCTTAATTTCATTTAATAATTTACTGCAATTAGCAATTTCTTTTTGAGCTAGTGGGTACCGTTGACAAAGTGGTTGCGACACATACATGAGAATTAAAAGAAATGACTATATGTGTGCATGTGTATGAATGTGTGTATATATGAAAATATATGACAAAAAACCAATTCAAAAGATAAAACTTATATAATGTGAATATATTTATATATATATTATATATATAACATACTAAAATTACCATAATATAATAAAGTAATTGTTAAAAAATTCGCACCCTTCTAAAAATTAATCGAGAGGATAAGGCTTCAATAAGTTTTTCATTTTTACTATCGCCTATACGTAAATATTTAATATCACATTAATATATTAATAAATATATATATTTTAAAAAAAAATAATCAAATTTACCATTTTTTCCATTATTGCGTATCCATTGGCTACCGTTATTTCTCAACCAATTTTCTGCATCACCCAATAATTTTAATACTTCCGATTCAGGAAAATCTTCATAAATCGTAATGTTATATTTATTTAAAGAAAAATCTTCCTCCTTTTTATTTAATTATTTAAATAAAAAAACATAAATATTCCCCTTTTTTCAAAAAAAAAAAGCAAAAAGATCTAATGATAATCTCACATCATAAACATTTCCTTTGCTCATTTCTTCCCACACCAAATGACTACATTTCATTGTACCCAGAACATAAGCTTTAAGAATTAAAATTACAAATTCTATTGGTGGCAATAGTTCTGATGTAGTCGTAGTTGTAATTGTAGATGTAGATGCTTTTGATTGATCCTTGTTATCATTAACATCAGATTTATTATTATTATTATAAAATAACTCTGGAGTAAGTTCCATAATATGATGTATGTACATGCATGTAAATATAGTTTGAGCAAGAGAATGTCCAGAGTGCCATGTCATCTAAAAAGAAAAATTCAGAGATTTTATCATTTTCAAAAATAATATTTATAATTAATGCAAATTAAAAGATTTATTTAAATTTACCTCGCATATAAATAAATTATTAATTATTCCAAGAACTTGTTCAGGTTTTAATCTAGCTTGTAGATTAAAATTTTTTTTCTTGAGATCACTTTCAAGGATCATTCCACTGTCCATCTTAGGATCCATGATCTTTAAAACATTTTATGTTCTGTTATTAAATATAATCATATATATTAATTGATAAGAAATTAATCAATGTTTGAAACCTCAATTGAGCTCATTGCATCATATAATCCAAATGATTCAAGATGAATCAGTTGACCAATTTGAAATTCTATTCTTTTACAAATGATTAACATAATATTAATAATAATGGTAATGACGGTAATATAAATATGTATATGTGTATTTATATATTTATATATACTATACCAGCTGTAACTTCATCTAAGAAAGTTGTTATATCTTTATATTGAGGTAATAAATAATTGTTGGAATTTTCCAAATAAACATTACTCTTTTTTTCATCTTTTAAAGTTAACTTTGATATATTAACTATTTAATTTATAATTTGGGGGTATTTTTTATTAATTGATAATAACATATATGTTATATATATGTTTAAAATAATTAATAGAGTACCTTCGATAGGATCCATGAATTTTTGTCTTATGAGCAAAAATTAAAATTAGAATTAGAATTGGATAAGAATTAGTAAAATCAAAAAAAAAACTATTTAAAAGTTAATATCTCATATTTACTTTTGGATTATATCAGAGAAATCTTTTTAAAAAAAAATACTATCGCAGATTTAATGTGATTGTCTGCACATGTCTGGATGATAAATAAACTCCAAATTCACTGGTTTATTAACTAAAGTATTTTCAGGACTATTTTGTGACTGAATTGTAGTAGATGTAGATGTAGATGTAGATGATGAAGATGACGATGTTGCCATTGAGGAGGATGATGATGATGATGCCGTTGTTGATATTGTTTCACTTAATGAAGGTTGTTGTTGTTTATGTTTACCTTTCTTTTTATTTTTCTTTCGCTTGGTTGTTGTTATTACTGCTGTTGTTGATTTTAACGGTGTCTCTAAATTGATTTCATTTGTTGAATTATTTTCAAGTTCGATTTTATACTCTTCGATTATTTTTTGTAGGTTTATAATGTTTGCAATGCATACACGAGTCATATTTTGAATATCCTATATATATATATATAAAATCAATATATGTATATATGTATATATATATATATATATATATATATATATATATATATATAATGATCATATTTATTATGTAAAATAACATAATAGATACCTCTTTAAATTCAACTTCACCGAATTCCATTCTACACTCGGATACATTTAAATTTTTTAACTTGGCCAAAGTTATTTTAGCAGATTGAAAATTTTGCAAAGATGCATTCAAAAGATCCAGTGTCTACAAATTATATATTAATATATTTATATATTAAGCATATATATATATATGGTGTATCTGTATATGCAACTTACACTAACGTGGTCCCAATTTGTCACTTTTTTATAATCGTTATATGTGAATATTGCTGGACTTCCCAAATTCCTGTACATTCGAAATCTTTGCATGAAACGTACACCTTCATCATCAAATTCTAGTGCCGGTGAAGTCATACGACCAGTTCTCTGTAATGCTGGTATAGCCTTATAACAACAATAACAACAATAATAAATAAAGGTATATTGATTATTTATTAGGTGCTCATTATCAACACTTGGACAGAATTTCTATTCATGCAAGGGTGAAGGTTTAA